GCGTTAAGAAATATACAGAGAGCAGTATGGAGAATATGCAAACTGATGTGAGGGCATAAAGTGCCAATAGAGAGGACAGACTAATTAAAAAAAATTGAATCTCCAGACAGGAGTTTGGATTTATCACAGCTTTTATGATTTGACCATTGTTTACTGCAGGGAGGATGGGTGTGTCCAGATGGGCCACGCCCTGGCTCCTCTGGATCAACCAAAGAGGAAGATTTCCGATTGATGAGTGGCACATTATCTCAACATCCTGTGACAAATGGTGATTGTCATATTATTTTAACATCCTTGTGCCTGTAGTGGGTCAGTGGCAATGAGGATTTCCTGGTGCATGTTTTGCCCATTACCATCTCTTACTAGCTCCAATATATAATTTTCAATTCAGTTCTCACAAACTGGAGTAGGATCTGGGTATCATAAGCAGTGCTTCTGTAACTGGTTTGTAGGTTAATTTTCTGAGAAAACGAATGCATGTCTGGGTCTTCATGAGATTTTTTTAGGAGGCAACCCTTCAGAAATTACTTAGATTTGGATTTCAATTTTTAGTTGATAGGAACTGTAAAACTTGAAACCCAAATTTGTTATTATTTGCTCTCACCTCAGGTTATCTTAAATTCATGATAAAGTAGCCCAAAAAACTATTTACAGGAACTGGTGAAGTTTCCCTGCTGGTGGCTCTTAAATACAACCCTGTTGATATGAGGGAGGATAAATGGATAAAAAAATTAATGGCTTGTATTGAGAATCTCAGATTATCGTTAGTGTCTAAGCAGCTGTGCACCTACCCTCCCCTCCCCCCTCTTAACCCAACAATGACCCTTACTTGTTATCAGTAGACTATTGTTGGGTTGGGGGAGGGGTAAGTATGCATTTGCTCAGATACTGATCCAGACTTTCCTTTAGGTAGCATGTTCTGGTATCTCAAATGTATAACAGGGAAGGCTTTCAAATTGTTTCAATCCTGTTCAATCCTGTTTGGCCTGAAGACCACTTCAAGTGTGGCCAACATATGACTGTGTGCGTTGTTGGTCCTTCACCCATGCTCATTCAGAATGTAATCCCCAGCCAGGGTTGAACTGAGTGAGTTATGAATTAACATTATCAATATAGAGCTTGTGTTGTGATTCAGCTTTGCTTCCATTGTGGCTGCTTTAGGTTATGATGTGGATCTGCGACTGCATGGTAACAGTTCAGGATACCACTCAGATGATGCATCTCCCATGAAGAAGAGTGAGGGAGCTCCAATTCAAGAGTTCCGCATGCCAGGAATGCTTGACGGTCATGAAGAGCAATCCAGGAAAATTGTGCAACCTTCTGATGTTATTATAATGGTATTTTAAATTAAGATTTAATTAGAATAAACAAACAAAATAGTTTTAGTCAAACTTACAAAGCTCAAGTGATTGGAATTTTTTCAACATATGAATAACAGGCTTTAGGTTCAGTTGTGTCAGGATTAGTTTTAAATAGGAAACTTTCAACATTTAACAAGTAACGTTCTGTTTTAATTGTGTTGCAGAGCCGGACTGAATTGGACAAAAGAGGGGTCTTGCAGACAAGTGAGAATCCACAAGTGAGTGTCCTTAAAGCTGTTCTGCAAGAACATTTGTCCGTTTTTCACCCAACAGTTATTACAGGTTCTGTAATGGTTCTGCATGGATTTGTGGAATGTCACGGTCATGTACATACCTCTGAAGAAGGAAGTACTTAACACGATTGTGGCTGATGTAACCAACCCCTGATACCAAGATTTTTCACCTCTTACATCATGTAACATTTTTTGAGGATTTTGATTCATTTTTATAATCTGATCTTTTTTCTTTGTGTTTATCTCATAGGTTCGCACAAATGGAACCATTTCATTGGAAGAAAGACTGAAAACATTGTTGAGCTCTCCAAATCCTGGAGGACAGGCTGGAGAGGTCAGAATACAAATCGAACCAATGGATTTACATTTATTTTTATAATGCTATGACTATGAATTGTAAGTTGCTAGTCCATTATAGCTGGATCCTCCATTTTCGAAACCTGCGTCGCAAAAAACAGAGTAAATTGCACTCAAATTTAACCCAATCCTCAATTTTGTTGTGACAGGAAACTGAGGAAGAGCTTATCATTCCACCACCACCAAAGGGAAATCATTTTAATGATGATGATGATGATGATGATGATGGTGATGTTGAGCGAAGACTTCAGTCGCTGTTGGATGTCGCTGAAGAAGACAAACCTGATATGGAGATTAAAACTAAGGACTTTAGTGGCTTGAAGGAGCTTGACAGGATTGGTTATGTGGTAAGTGTGGGTGGAATTGAGGCATTTGGTTAATATGACCTTTATTCTTCTAATTCATCTGGAATTGAGGCATTTGGTGAACATGATCTTTATTCTTCACTGCATTACC